CTAATGTAGTTTTTGTCTGGTTTAGATGATACATTCAGCCAGGTTAAAAGCCATATCTTGTTAATGGAACCTCTTCCTAATGTAAAAAATGCTTTTTCGATTGTTTCTCGTGAGGAATCACATCAAAAAGGAGGTTCCATTTCTCAATCTTCCATTAAGTCTCAGGCTACTGCTTTTGTTGGTAAATTCAATGATCAGAAACGAAATAAGTTTCGTGGAAATTCTAACCTTCAATGCAAAAATTGTGGTCTTAAGGGACATACTATTGAAAGATGTTATAAACTCATTGGATTTCCAAAGGATTTTAAATTCAAAAATGAGTCTCAGAATTTTAATAAGACAGTTTCTTCTAATAAATCATTTTCATCTAATATTAATAGTTTTTCTGATTTGGATGTTAAAACTAACAACTCTTCTGAAAAGTTTTTTCTCACAAGTGAGCAATATAACAAGTTTCTCAGTCTCATTAATGAGAAACCTTCATCAAGTGAAGTGTCTGCGAATATGGCATGTACTTATTGTAACTCTTTTGTGTCTACTAATAGGAAGTGGATTGTTGATTTTGGTGCAAATCATATGACCAAAAAATGATTCTAAGTTAAATAACATTGTTGATGTTTCAAAACTTGATCTTAGAGTGGATCATCCTAATTGATCTTCTGCTAGAATCAATAAAATTGGGAATATGAGATTGTCTGAGTGAGTTGTTTTGTCTGATGTGTTTGTTGTTCCTAAATTTAATGTTAATTTACTTTCAGTTCATAAACTTTGTAAGGATAATAAGTGCCAACTTGTTTTTGATGAGTTTAAATGTGTTGTTCAGGATTCACAGTCTAAGGTGACTATGGGGACTGGTAGTGAATCCAGAGGGTTGTATTATCTTGAGGATTCCTACTCTTCAGGTAATATAGCTTCTTCAAGTAGGATTGATTGTTATGTTTCAAAGATTACTTGGCATAATAGATTGGGTCACCCTGCTATTCAGTCTTTAAATTCTCTTAAGCATGTCTTGTCTTTTGGGGCCGAGTCTCTTCCTCCTTGTGATGTTTGTCACAAGGATAAGCAGTCTAGGAACTCTTTTTCTTTTGAGTGAACATAAGAGTGTTTATTTAGGTGATTTAGTGCATATGGATGTTTGGGGTCCCTATAGGGTTGCTACCACTGATGGTTTCAAATATTTCTTAACTATTATGGATGATTTCACCAGAGGTGTATAGGTTTATCTTTTGAAATCTAAATCTGAAGTTTTTTTTATTGGTTTTCTGTGTTTTATAATTTCTTAAAAAATCATTTTAATTCAAATGTTAAAGTTGTTAGATCTGATAATGGTACTGAGTTTGTTAATTCTCAATTTAAAGATTTTTTTTGATAAAAATGGTATTTCTCACCAAACTACTTGTACTTATACTCCACAACAGAATGGTGTTGTGGAAAGAAAACATAGACATCTCTTGAATGTAGCTAGATCACTTTTATTTCAATCTGGTTTACCTCTTAAGTTTTGGGGTGAGTCTGTTTTGACTGCTGTTTTTTTGATAAATAGACTTCCTACTTCAGTTTTAAAAGGGAAGTCTCCTTTTGAAATGATTTACAAATGTTTGCCTAAATTTGAGAATTTAAGAGTGTTTGGGTGTTTATGTTTTTCTGTTAAGCAAAATATATCAGATAAGTTTGTTGAAAGGTCTGAAAAATGTGTTCTTATTGGTTATTCTAATGAAAAGAAAGGATATAAGTTGTATAATCTTGATAATTCTTCTGTTTTCTTTTCCAGAGATGTAATGTTCTATGATGATGTATTTCCTTTTAAAATGAAGAAGGATTTAATTGATGAAAATTTATTTTCATTTTTAATGATTCTGTTTTTAATGATACTGTACACTCTAGTCCCTATGATGAAATTCTTCAATCATCCTATATGGATGAAGCTCCTGAAACTGATGCTCCTGTGATAAGCCACCAGACTGATGACACTGGTGCAGCCATTGTTTGTGAGCATGCTAGTGTTAGTAGCCAGGATGGCTTGGTACAAGTGTCTCAGTCTCAGGAGGTTGGTCCAGGTGTTTCTGGTTCTTCTGAGGGAAATAGTTTGGAAAATGTTGAACCATCTGGTAGTGTTTCTGTTAGAAGATCTAGTAGAGAGTCTAGGATGCCTCTTAGATTTGATGATTATATTGTTGAAGGCAAGTATAAGTATGGTATTGAAAAAACTTTAAACTATGCAAGATTAAATCCTAAAAATCTTTGTTTTGTTTCAAACTTAAATAAAACTGTTGAGCCTAGGAATTTTTTTGAAGCTTCTACTGACTCAAATTGGGTTACTGCAATGAATGAGGAAATGGAGGCTTTATATCGAAATAAAACCTGGGAAATCACAAATTTACCTTCTAATCGAAAACCCATTGGGTGTAAATGGGTGTATAAAATTAAGTACAAATCTAATGGTGAGGTAGAGAGGTATAAAGCTATACTTGTGGCTAAAGGTTATAGTCAAAAGGAAGGTATTGACTATGAGGAGACCTTTTATCCTGTAGCTAAAATGGTTATTGTTAGAGTTGTTGTGTCTTTAGCTGTTAACTCTTCTTGGAAATTATTTCAACTTGATGTTAACAATGCCTTTCTTTATGGAAATCTTGATGAGGATGTTTATATGACCCTTCCTCAAGGGTATCATACTCCTGGTGATACTCATGTTTGTAAAGTGTTAAAATCTTTGTATGGGTTAAAACAGGCTCCTCGGAAGTGGAATGAAAAACTTTGTTCTTCATTGTTTGAGTTTGGTTTTGTCCAGAGTGTAAATGATTATTCATTATTTGTTAAAAATAAAGATGGTACTATTGTTATTTTGCTTGTGTATGTTGATGATATTGTTATAACAGGAAATTCTGAACTTGAGATTACTTAAGTAAAAGATTTTCTGAAATCCAAATATTTGATTAAAGATTTAAGAAACTTAAAAAAAAATTGGGCATCGAAGTTATTGATAAAGTTGATGGGATTTGTTTAACCCAACGTAAATATTGTCTAGAGTTAATTCATGAGTTTGGGAAGTTAGCTTGTAAGCCAGTTAGAACTCCTTTAGATTTAAATTTTAATATATCTGAAAAAGGAATTGATGATAAGGATGTTTTGTTGAGTAATATTATTGAGTATAAAAAACTTATAGGTAAGTTGATTTATCTGACTATAACTAGACCTGACATTTCCTTTACTGTCCAAACTCTCAATCAATTCATGCATTCTCCAAGAAAGTCTCATTTGGATGTTGCCATGCGTGTGTTGAGATATCTGAAACAAAGTCCTGGTAGAGGGATTAGTTTTTTAAAAAATCAAAAACCTTCTTTATGTGCATACGTGGATGCTGATTGGGCAAAATATATTACTTCCAGGAGATCTGTTACTGGTTATTGTGTTTATTTTGGAGATTCCTTAATTTCTTGGAAAAGTTAAAAACAAGATACTATTTCCAGGTCTTCTACTGAATTTGAATATAAGGCTTTGGCTTCAGTTACTTGTGAAGTTATGTGGATTCTAAAACTTTATTTTGATTTGGGAGTTAAAGGTTTATTTCCTGTTAATGTCTTTTGTGATAATGATTCTGTAATTAAACTAGCCCTTAATCATGTTTTTCATGAAAAAACTAAACATTTTGAAGTAGATGTTCATTTTGTGAGAGATAGGGTTTCGAAAGGAATTTTAAAAATTGTTAAGATTGATTTAGAACATCAACAAGCTGACATTCTTACTAAAGCTTTGTCTTCAAAGCAACATGATTTTTTGTGGTCTGAATTAGGATTGTATGATCCATTTAAAGTTGAGTAGATTAATTTTTCCTCTCTCAATGTTTATCTTGAGGGGGGATGTTGAAAAGCATAGTTATTTATGAACAAGATTAACATTGAGAATGATTCACGTAAAGTGGGTTAAAACTGTAAGATTGAAGAAAGGTTTGTGATGTGTGTTGTAAGAGGTTTGTGGCATTGGGTGTATTGTGTAGTATTTTGTTATTGCAGGGACTGGGGCTCACTATCTAGAAACTGGAAAGCACGCGGATCCTTGAGGATGGGTTTGGGTCGGATATATTTCAGGTTTGGTCTATGGATTTTACCCAAAGTATATATATATTTGGTTTCAGCTGTATTTTTGATCATTCAGACCATTTTCTTGTTTACACACTTACACTTGGGTCTCTCTGCTCTCTTATCCTCTTCTTCTTCAAATTAGGGTTTGATCAAGTTTAGAGTTGTTTTTTGTTCTTGTTAGTTTTGTTCTGTGAACTTTATAATCTGTTAGTTTTTGTATTCTTTGAGCGTGAGTGTTATGTAGTGAGTTTTCAGTTGTAAGTTGCTTGAAAACCAACTGGATCTTATTTTGGTTAATAAAAGATATGTTGATGATGTGATTAGATCTGTTGGTTGTGTTTTTTGACAACTTTGAAAATAATCCATTTCAAAAAATTAGTTTTTTTTTCTTCAAAAAGAAAAACTTATTTTTATAACACAAAAATGTCTTATTTTAGTTAATACCCCTTAATTTAGGGGGTGTTTGGATAGAGAAAAAATAGGCTGCTTATTGCTTAATCCCACCGTAATAAGCAAATTGAAGTGTTTGGATAGGAGTCTTTAAAATCAGCTTATTACGGTAGGAATAAGCCAAATAAGCTGATTTTAATAAGCAATGGGGGAATGCTTATTGCTTATTGTTTATTGGTCATTTTACTCATATAAGTTGTTTTGTTGCCAAACACTTAAAATGCTTATTGCTTATTGCTTATTTCCACCGCAATAAGCTAATCCAAACACATTTTAAACAAGTGTTTATTCCCACCACAATAAACAAATAAACAATAAGCTAATAAACTAATAAAACTAAAAACTATTTATCCAAACTCCCTTTATACAATTACGGTTTATCTCCAAATACTCGAAGGTTCTAGACTGTGGGGGAGGGGTTAACTCGCCTTCCATTGGCGACCAGGTTAACGTGCTATATAGTCTGCCAAGTGCCAATCATAATTAGCTCCGCCTTTGTCCTCTTTTTGACGACCTCCGTCTCCCTTCTTTCTTCCCCTTTTCTTTGTATTCCGTCTTCCGGCGTTTCTCAAAACTAGAAAATGACTTCGTCGACGCTCAAGCGTTGGTTGAGGCCTGAGGTTCGTAGCAATCGATCACTCTCCGTGTTTTCATCTATTTCCCCCCATTTTGTTTGAGTTCGTAGTTTAATTTTACATGCATACTGCTCTAACGAGCATCTTATCATGATCTGTATTTGTGTTTGTATATCCGATTTGATTGATCTGTTTAATTCGTCAGGTATATCCTCTGTTCGCCGCCGTTGGTGTTGCCGTCGGTATCTGCGGCATGCAATTGTTTCGGAACATCAGCGGTAATCCTGAAGTCAGGTGTCTGTCTCTCTCGTTCTAGCTCTATTGCTTTTATGACTTAATTAGCTGTGTTTCCCCTTTTGGATTACCAATTTTAACAAACTCGATGCGTTGCATTTACGATTCCTTTCGTCTGACTATGAATTGATTATGTTTATAATTTGTACATTTTGGTGGAATCAGTGATTCCATTCCATGATCTTAAAAAATATTGGTATTTGATTTGGCTTATGTACAGAGTGGCGAAGAAAAAAAGAGCTGCCGGAGTGCTGGATAACTTTGATGAAGGCGAAAAGTACGCAGAGCATTCACTTAGAAAATTTGTTCGTAACAAGAATCCGGAGATCATGCCAAATATCAATTCCTTCTTTGCAGACCCTAAATAAATAAATACACTTGCAGTTTATGGTGTGATCTTCCATTTTACCTTCGAAACACTAGAAGCGATTGTGTTTCGAATAGATACTTTAATTCAATCTAGTGACTAGTTGTATAATTTTAGATTTATTTTTATAATCAGTTTTCCTGTACTTTGCTCCAAATCAGTGAAAAAAAAATCATAATCAAAGGGTGTAAATTATATTATATTGGATTTAAGAATAATCTGTGCATTTAAGTTAACCCGAATTAGAGACTATTACGTTTGAAAACAATGTATTACCTTGTAGACTTTTGAATCTTCTTGTCCTCCCTAATAAATAAAGAATTTTTACTTCTTATGCATTTGGACACATTTAATTTTGTGGTTAATTCTTAGAAATTGATTTCCACTTGTCATTTTATGGTAATTTTTGATTTTTTTTCTTAATTAACTATCTAATTTTTAGGTTATAGAAAGTAATTAATGTGTTATTAATTTGTTTCCTTATATTTTCAAAATTTAATATGTTTCCTTCAATATAATTCAAAATTGACATATTTCTTTTAAAGTACATTGTCATTTTTAAAATGATATGTATAAAAAAATAATCAAACTTTGTTGCATTTTATTGACAAACTAAAAAAAATGTTATATGGTCAAAATATAATTATTTTTTTGTAGTTTGTTTTATTAATATAAATTGAATTATTTATTTATTCATCATTTTGTTTGTATATATATTTTGAAATTTTATTTTAAAAAATACTTAATGTTTACACTTTGATATTTAATGTTTTCTTTAAAAAAATATTTAAAGTTTATATATTCATATATAATTTTTTTAATCAACCCGTGTAATACACGAGTTTCACACCTAGTTCTAATAAAAGAATAGTTTTAATCTCGTTTTAACATGTGTCATCTTATTAGGCCTTCTAATTAATGCATTTTTTTTTTGTCATGTGTCATCCTATTAGGCCTCCTAATTAATGCATGCCACTTGTCAACCTATTAATTCTCAATTTCAAATTTTAAATTTCTCACTCTAATTACATTAAATTAATAGCATTAGAATAAAAATTAAAATAAAATTAATACAAATTATAAGGTGATATAATTTCACATATTTATTTAAATTAACGATTGTAATTTTATATAATTAAAAATATATATCTTAATTAATAATTTATTTAAAATAATTGATTAATAATTTTGAGTTTTCACTATTAAAGTTTAATTAATTTTATAACCGTGGTTTCCACAGGTTATAAACTAGTTTAGGAATATTTAAAAAAAAAAATGCTTTTCTAATATGTCCTTTAAGGGTGCATATAAAAAACATTAAAAAAAGGGCAAATATCAATAAAAGAGCCACACTCCTAGCAAGATGCTAGGAGGGGCAAAAGAGTACAACGAAAGGGAAAGATTAGATACAAATAAAAGGATTGACGCACCATTCAACCCATTGAAAATTACAATGATCTCTCCTATCGTAAATCCATGTAAACACAGTGGATTTCATCAAATCAGCCACTTTAGCAGGAGAAGTTCTTATTTTTTGAAAATCCAATCACACCTTGCTTTCCAAATAAGTCACGTCATCCCGTAACAAATACTAATCAGGCTTTTCCTTTTCTTTACACATATCCCCCATTGTGGGGCAAACAATTCCTCAATGGGTTCGAAATGTGTATTGGGAAGGTCACACCAAGGAAACACCCAATCCCAGACCTTTGAGGCCATTGGGCATCGTAAGATCACATGGACTGCATCCTCATCTTCAGCCTCGCAACAGGTATATTCTTTATAATTAATATATTTTACATTTTTTTGAACTGACAATTATATTAAAACAATGACCCTAGCAAGATGCTAGGGACCAAAATATACATCGTACATAGGAGGCATAACAGAGAAGATAGATCACCATCTATATACAACTAATAGGTGACATACACCACTTCTTCCACTCCAGAAAACTGTTTGGCAGGAATGTCACACCAATTAAGCACCCTGTTTATCGTGTCTTTCGCAAAAGGACAAGATGTGAGGATGTGATTTGTCGTTTCCACGATGTTGTTGCATGACCCACACATCGGGGAAGGAACCTGGATGTTTCGTTTTTGTAACTCCTCAACCGAAGGAATCTGTCCCTGTTTTCCCCGCCATATAAAGCTCTCTACCTTTTTCGGGGCTGAATTTAACCACCAAAACTCCCCATCGCTGTCGGGTGTGATGCTCTATCTAGTCGACTCTGGAGTTTTGCAACGTTGAAGATCCCATCTACTACAAAATCTGACCTCCATGTTATTCCATCCTCATTTGGATATAAAGATATCCCTCGCCTCCATATTTAATTTCCATAGTCCAATCTTCACTTTATCAATGCCTGACCAAACCCCGCTCACCCTACGTTTTGAGAAACAATACCAAGGACGGTTTGTGTGGAAATGAATCCCCCTGATGATCTGAGCCCAAAGAGATTGTGGACTTGATTTGAACTTTCACCACCATTTTGATAACAAATCCAAGTTTAGGTTTCTCAAAGAACCCAAACTCGCCCCTCCAATATCCTTTGGAGCCTTCATTCTATCCCAATTAACCCAATGTACTGTTGCCCTTCCAGATCCCCCACTCCAAAGGAATTATCTCTGAATCTTTTCTAAATCTTCAATTACTCCGATTGGGGCTGCGTATAAAGATAGGTAAAACGTATGAAGATTCCCAAGGACTGATTTCACCAAAGTCATTCTTCTGCCAAAACTCAAAGTCTTAGCCTTCCACATTGAGAGTTTGGACCGAAACTTATCTATAATCGACCTCCATGCTGTTTTCCTGTTCATATTTTCTCCAATTGGGACCCCGAGATAAGTGAATGGAAGGGATGATGGGGCACATCCCAATGGAGCCGCCCAACTACACACCTCCGAGTGTAATGCCCCGATACCGAATACCTTTGATTTGGTGAAGTTTACTTTCAGCCCAGAAACCACATGGAAGCATCTCAGGATTCTAGCCAGATTAGAAATGTTTTTCCTTGACCAATCACCAATAAATAAAGCATCATCTACATATGTGAATTACATCAAAAACCCCTCTTTCTGTAGCCGCCTTCATCATAACGTTTCGTCCTTCCATTGCCATTATAAAAAGGAAAGGCGATAACGGGTCGCCTTGCCTCACCCCTTTAAACATAGAAAACTCCATCGTCGGGCTACCATTAACTAACACCGAGGCCCTAGCGGATTCTAGACATCCTTTTATCCACCCTCTCCACTTTGATCCGAAATTCATTTGTTCCATTATCAAATCAAGGTATTCCCAATTTACCGAGTCGAACACTTTATTAAAATCTGCCCTGAATAATAACATCTTCCGATCGCTCCTTTTTACCCACGAGCATAATTCATTAACAATCAAAGATCCTTCTAATATACTCCTTCCTTCCACAAATGCCGATTGTGTCTCATCAATACAACTACTAATACATTTTTTCACTCGGATCGCCATGGCTTTTGTAACAATCTTGTACAGAGCACCAATAAGAATTATTGGTCTATAGTCGTTTAAGGATAATGTATCCTTAATCTTGGCCGCGAGGGATATGAACGACGAGTTACACCCCTTGGAAAAACTCCCCCTGCTCAAAGAATTTCACAAATCTCATAATATCATCGTTTATGATATTCCAATAATTTTTAAAGAATTGGAATGTAAATCCATCCGGTCTGGGGCTTTGTCCGATCCACAACACCGTATTGCATGCTTGATCTCCTCAGCTGTGAAAGCCCTCTCTAATGAGATACTCTCCTCTTGTGAAAGTTTTTTAAACCTGTTGCTGCGAATTTTTGGTCGGCTCTTCCATCTCTCATCAAATTTCCCAAAAAAGAATTGGAAAACCTCTTGTCGTATGACAGTAGGATTTGACTCCCAATGCTCGTTAATAATTAGACCATGAATGTGGTTCCTCCTATTTTAATTATTTACATAACCGTGAAAGAAGGAGGTGTTTTCGTCCCCATCAGCCAACCATTTTATTTTTGCCTTTTGCTTCATATCCATGGCTCTTGCTTTTTCAATTTCCGTGATTCTGCTCACATATTTTGTTCTACACCCTATTTCATCTGCCAACAGAGGTCTTGATTCCGCATTCAAATCAAATTGTGCTGCTTTGTTCCCGCACTCAATCAATTCCCCATTTTCTTTATCAAAATTTAAATCACGCCATTTCTTTATTTCTGCTTTCAAAAATCGAAGCTTAGCTGCCAGAAAAGGGCCAAATTCCTCACAATATGTTTTTATCACAATTCGGCAGTGATCCGACAAGTCCCTAGGGAGGACCGTCACCGAGATTCCAGGAAAGGAGTCCATAAATTGATCACATACAAGAAACCTGTCCAATTTGCTCAATTTCCCCCCATCTTCCGGTCTAAAGCAGGTGAATTTTGAACCTCCCATTCTCAGATCAATTAATGCGTTAGAATAGATGAAGTGATTGAAATCATCTACAGAGACATGACAAAATCTCGAATTTACCCTTTCCTCTTTGTTCCCGACATTGTTAAAATCACCGGTAAAAATCCACATCGCCGCTCTATTTGCTTTTATTTGGGCTAGTTCTTCCCACAGTCTCCTCTTATCCACCGTCCCCTGTGGAGCGTACACATTTACGATTTCTATATCCGAGTTTTTACCCACACATCTCCCAAACATAATCAGGAAATGTCTGGATTTAATAGAATCCGTGAACATAAAGACTCCATCATCCCAGATTGTAATTATTCCTCCAGACCTACCCGATGCTTCAATTATTTCATACCCCAAATTGTTGTTGGCCCAACAATTTATAATGTTTGGATGAAGTGAAGAAACTAACCCCAGCTGAGATTCCTGAAGACAAGCAACCGAGATTCGATGTGCAGAGCATAAATTCTTCACCCATGATTGCTTATGAGCCTCACCAATTCCCCTTACGTTTAGCGACATCACATTCATTATGGGATATGACACTCACCGACATTGCCCATTACCTCCTCTAGGACCTCAATCCTAATTTCAATGTCTACATCAACCATCTTTCCAACCTCAACTGTTAGGTCGACCTCAATTCTCACCGGTCCCCCATAGTTATCGGCCTCAACAACAATAGGAGAAGACTGACCGCAAAGCTCTACAATATCCATCTCTTGCTCGTTATTGGATTGTTATTC